CTCACAGTTTCGCGGCAAGGGCGAAGCAATACGATAGCAACAACTTGGAATCAACGCAGAGAACGACAAGCAGATCGAAACGGGCAGCGCGCTGCTCACACACAAATGACACATGAAAACAACAAACACAGGACGAGAGAGAACTAACAACAATACTGCTCGACACTTAACACGCTGCTTAAACAAAAACGAGGCACGAAACGTAATAACAGGTACAGATATGAGTGCAAACCAACAATGTGCCCCAGTTGTTACTATGCTGTGTGTGAAAAGCGCACTCGTTTCGCAAACGGCGCCTGTCTTGTGAGTTAAGTTATCTCTGTGCACCCGGCAACTAAGCACAATCATTACGGTCAAAGTCAAATCTCCTCACCAAAGGACAAACGCGAGCGCACAAGCATCTACACCCCCCCCCCCCCCCCTTCGCAGGGCAAAGTACGCGTGGGCGATAAGCGCGCGGCGGCTTTTTTTTTTTCCCAGTTTTCATATATATATGGATACGTATACATATACAATGAATGGCGGCGGGGATGGCAAAAAACCAGCCGAGACTGTCCAAATTATTGCTATCACAATGATAACAGAAAGCAAAGCTGAACGTTGTCGGGGGGCCGCAGCATGCGCTCGCAGTGAAACTATGCACGCGTGCACAGCGTTGAAAACGAAAAGCGAATGACACGAACACAGTTGAAAACTATTCGGTAAAGCACCCTCCATGTGCAGCACAGCCCTGCATATGTCACGCGAACCAGAAGTGTGGCACTGCCAATGCGCAAAAGTAGTTTTATTATTTTTTATTTTGGTTTGGAGTGGGGGGGGGGCACACACCTACGCACGCCGGTTCACACTTTGTCGGCGGCAGGGCAGTCGCGGAAGATGCATGCTCGTACTAAAATGTGGAGCAAAACTTCTGTATTGTTTGTGGGGAAAATTCGTCATACCAAGGTTGTCTCCCACTGCTACTTTGTTACATAGAGGTCGCAAATACTTGTGCTTCTATAGAGCAACGACGGGGAATAGAAAAACTTCGATATATATTAAGGAATTTGTTGTATAGAGGTTTGTTATGAGTAGGTTTAACTGTATTTCAATAAAAGTAGTATTTCTAACTGCCCCACTGAGCCAAAAATGATAAAGTACACATTAGCATTTTCCGCATCTTTCATATACTTCGACAGACTCAGTGAATTTAAATGTAGATCTGCCAAGCTGGCGACCTTGAAAATTAGGGGATTAGTGAAACTGAGGAGTAGGGGTGGGAGAAAAAAAAAGAAAAATAAAGGCGCATATTTTTTTAAAGGCGCCAGCAATATCATACACAGCTCCAAATGCTTGCCCGCAATATTTTCAGAAGTCAGCATTCACACTTGTACTCACAGCTATGCGGCGTGTACACGCATGAGTAAATGAACAATATGAGCTGCGTCTCATGACTAGGACTAAGAGCCCCTTCTATATCATAATACGCTTTTCTGCAGGACAATGACATACTGTGGTGAAGGTGACTTAAGCAGCGTTCAGCACAGGTTGGAGCAAGACCACGAAATTTTCGAACACGGCGACGCCCCCTCCCCTATCCTTTTTTTTTTTTTCCATGATGGAGTTAGGTTAAGGCTGCAACTTCTCAGCTCACTTGCAAGACGCGTTCTATCAGATAAAGTAACAACGGCACGTGCCCATCGATCCAGCGACACCACCGCATATTTATTGCCGGGAGGGTGCAACTAACGCAACTTAAAGCCAAAAAAATGTTTTATGTGCCCCAGCTATGGTGACCAACGTGGTCGCCAGCAACGCCGGCATTGGCAGCACGTCGACAATGCTCGCGCGCAAAAGATGAGATATGCGCTTCCAGCTCTAACTACTAACATGCCAGAGCCAAGTTTGCTGACTAGGAAGTTCATATTTCCCGCAAAGTGTTGGTGGCTATGGCACCGCATTTCTGTTTAGAAGTTGTGTCGTCCCACCGATATGTATCTACTGCGGTCAGTGGACTGCAGTGGATACATATCGACTTTGTTACTTTAGCTGGTCGATAGCGTCTCAGAAGTGCCTTGACCTATGGGAATATCTGACACCGTGGTTTAGGATTAGGGTCAACGCGCTTAGATTGATTGATGAAACAAACTGCAGGTGACCAACATGGCCTCTATTTCTCGCTGAAATTCGCGCAACTAAAAAAATTTTGAGGCTACTGTCGAACCCGGGTATATCGAACTCGACAAAAAACTTTTATTAGTTCGATATATGGCATAATTCGATTTAGACCCAGTATAGGTTTTGACACAAAGGCACATAACAAACTAGAAGAAAAGTACTTTATTAATATGGTGGCTTACTTGCGTGCCCTACTTGGAACAAAATAGTCCCGGATTTTTTTTCGTGTCAACGACTTTGCTGCCTGCGACAGCAAGCACGCCTCCACGTTGTCCAACGAGTCGGAGCAGCTGAGGCTGCAACCTTCCACATTCAAGCAATAGCGCCGGACCAACGCAAGTGCACTAATCACTTCGGAGGATGTAGGCAATGGGCCGTCGTCGATTTCCATATTGCTGTCGCTTTGGCTCGTGGTCAGCCCGACGTCTGCAATGTAATCCTCATCCTCTAATTGGCCCATGATGGGGACATCATCGTCCGCACTGACGAACTCGTCAAATGTCGATCCGTCGATAGCACCCCGGAACTCTGCCAGCTCGTTCGAAACTTCGGCAGAAACACCTGCGGTGTCTTCAGTGCTGTCAGAATTTGGGGTGTCATCACCAGGCATGCGGAAGCCGGCATGCCTAAAGCAGTTCTAGATCGTCTCCTTCTTGACATCTGCCCACGATCTACTCAACATAGAAATAGCTCCAAGCAAGTCGATCTCATGCTCCCTGCCGACATGAAGGTTCTACAGCAGCCTCTCTACCAGGCGCTTCCGATAGACGGCTTTCATTGCGCGTATAAACCCTTGATCCAGTGGTTGCAGTGCAGACGTAGTGTTCGGGGGCAAAAAACGCAGCTCAATATTGCTGAAGGTCGTACTGCAGTGGTGTGATGAACAATTGTCCACGAGCAGGCACACCTTGCGATCTTCACCTACCAAATCATCATTCCACGACGATAGCCGTCTGCTCAAAAGCTCCCCGGTCATCCACGCTATTGAGTTTGCTCAGTAGGTAACTGGAAGCGACAGCGCATTTCGAAAACACCGCGGTGCCGTGCTTTTCCCGATAACCAGAGGTCGAAGCTTTTTCGATCCGTCTAAATTAGCTGCCAACAGTACGGACACACGAGCTTTGTTTGCCTTGCCGCCGCTTGTCTTGTCGCCATGACATGCAAGTGTCTTGTTTGGCATCATTTGCCAAAATAGAGCGGTTTTATCCGCATTGAAGATATCTTGGGCTCTATATCTTGCTGCGATATCTCGCCAGTTTTCCTCGAGCCATTTTTCTACGCTGTCCAGGTCCGCCGCTCTGCTTTCACCTGTAACAGCTTTGCCAACGATGTCGTGCCGTTCTTTGAACCGCTGAAGCCAGCCTGAACCGCCTTGGAAATCATTCCTGCCAAGCAGAAAAGCAAGGTCCTTGGCTTTCTGCTCGATCATAGGGCCGGACACCGGGATGTTTCGTGACCGAACGTCCACAAACCACTTGTACACGGCCGCTTCAACACCTTCGTACACAGCAGCGCGCACACGTCGGGCGCCACGGGCACCTGGCCTTTTGTCCGACTTGGCCCTGATGTCTGCCTTGTTCTTCAGTATAGTACTCAAGGTGCTTCTTGGAATTTTGTACGCGGCGGTGACATCGGACTTCTTTTCACCGCGCTCAACCCGATTGATGATTTCGAGTTTCGCGGCCAACGGCAAAACAGACAACACCACAGACCACGCTGAATCAGCAGCAGCAGGCACAGAAGCATAAAGAAAGAAAAAATGGCGCTCACTTCTACCGCCTCCGCGCCTCTGAGCAAGCACGACGGCCTCTGATTGGCTGTAAGCGCTGCGAGCGGGCCAGGAACATTTCTTGGAGGGGGGTGTTCACCCCCGCACAACCTGGTTTAACCAACTTTTTCTAGGGTGGCGCCGGCAGTTTTCCCCGCCACCGCGAGGGAAAGCCAACTTGCTGGGGCACTTTTGAGGCACATGGAGTTTGATATATCAGTTGTCGTTGCTATTTTCGTTCGATAAAACAGTAACTTTTGCTATATATTCTCAATGTAAACTTACCGTGTTTAGGAATTGTTCGATATACGGGATAATTTGATATAAACGGGTTCGATATAGTCGGGCTCGACTGTAGTCGGGCATTTTGGCACAGCAGAGCACAATTTCAGCAAATTTCATGGTTTTGGCGCAGCTTGGCACAAAAATGGAGATTTGTATCTAATCGGCGCAATTGGCGCAGCTGTTGCACCCTTGCTGTTACCACCATCCACGTTCAATTGTTTTTGTTTTTTTTTATGTCATTGAGCTTCCCCTACAGAAACCTGTTACCTCCACCCATGTGCACTTTTTTTTATGTTATCGGGCTTCAACAAAAACACGTTACCACCACCATGTGCACTTTCTTTTTACGTTTTCCAGCTACACTCACAAAATTCTGTCACCACCTTCAATCATAGGCCATGCAGCAATGTTTAAAAACGACAATTACTTCAGACTGTTCTGTTTAAATTTTGCACAGGACACGGGTAACAGAGTTTATCCTACAGCCAACATAAGCATAAGCAACGGAGATCTTCATATGGCATGCATAAAAGCTGAGATTCCTGATGGCCAATGACTGTGATCACTGCAATCAGTGACTTTACATTTCCTTGAGTCCAAGTTTGTGCAATTATGAGTTTCATCTCTAATAACTTGACTACTGCCTTTCCCAGCCACGTAAGAATGCTCATGTTTTTGACCACCGTGTTCCAAGTACACATTTATGACACCTAAACTTTCTCCACCTCTAGGCCCCAGTCTCTCCATCATTAACACGTGCTGAATGAACAATTGAATTGATCAGGCATACCAGCAAGGGTGATGACGGCAGGCTAGGGGGAGAGGGTGGCTGCTGCAATCGTTGCTGAGCCCAGGCAGCTTCCAGTCGCTGCTGGTGCACAATGGCCTCGTGCCGAGCCTTGAACTCTTCCTCCTGCAAAGCCCCCATAAACACTACCGAACAACTCTCTTAATAGGCTCATCAAGATCTCTTTTACCAAATTTAATAAAGGTTTATTTTTTTGCCTTTTCTAAATGTAAAATTAGCTCAAACATTAAAAATTAATTTTTTTCCATGGACAACGTAGCAAAAGCTATGCATCCATATGATACAGTAAACCCTTGTTGCAACGAAGTCACTTTATTCGAATTATTGCTTTTATTGAAATGCCGCACAGTCCCGACCCCAATGCGTGTAATTTAGATTGGATTACTCAAAGCATGTCAATAGCTTACTCCTCTTAGAGCAAGGTAACAAGGTGGGGATCCATATTCACGGCAGCATGGGTGAGCAACTGCCCAAGCCCGTACTACCTGAGCGAGCGGTGTTTGCGCTAGCGTCGCCAGGCTAAAGCGTGCCAGTGCAGACTGTTGCAGATAGAACGAGACTCTCAGTGGGCACGAATTTTACACTCCCCCTCCGCACCCTACTCCGATACCGAGGCAACCACTGGAGGCGCTCGCTAACATGCCAGCTGTGGACTGCCTCGATGCAAGAGGAAGCGAACGAGTGCATCCAGGCACTTTAGCCAGCTGCTCGCCGTTCTTGTACAAGAACGGCGGCACACTGCCCACTTGGGGAACAGTGGGTGCGGGGGAGGTATTGTTGACAATGATGGCATTGCTCGTCCGCCTCTGCCCTATTCTGTTGAGATGCTGCCCCTTTCTAATTCCGCCGTGTCGGTCTTGCTTCTTCTCCTAGATTTTCTATATTTATTTAACGTTTCTTCTCCCGTTTCGTTGTTGTTGTTTTTTTTTTTCTTTTCTTTTGACCCCTTCCCTCCCGACAGGCTATAAGAAGACACCGAAGATGTGTAAATATTATTATACCTTGAAAAAGACGGGGCTCCCATCGAAACGTTGGCAGAATAAACAGTTGTTATGTGAAAGCGCATCTACTTTCATATATATATTTTACAAAGTGAATGATGGCTGCAAAAAACCAGCTGAGATCGTCCGTATAATTGCTATCAAAAGAAATAAAAGCAAAGCTGATCATCTTCGGGGGCCACACCATGCGCGCGCAATGAAACTATGCACGCACGCACAGCATCAAAAACGAACAGCGAACAACACTGACACAAACATCTAGTAAAACAATTCGGTAAAGCACACTCTATATGCAGGGCGGCCCCACATATGTGATGCTTACTAAAGGCGTGGCACTGCCAATGCGCGAAAGTAGTTTTTTTTTTTTATTTTGGCTTGGAGTGTGTGTGCGGGGGGGGGGGGGGGGGGGGGGAATGACAGCAACACTGGCTCGTGGGGTGCAGGCTCGGCTTCCCGCCTCGCACTCACGAGCGCTCGCTCTCACTTGGTGCACTGTGCGCCACCGCTTCGCACTTCGGTGGCGGCAAGGCAGTGGCGGAAGATGCATGATCGTACCAAAATGCCAAAATGTGGAGCAAAATTCCTAGATAGCCCGTGGGGAAAATTTGTTATATAAAGGTTGTCTCCCGCTGTTACTTTGTTACATAGAAGTCCCAAATCCATGTGCTTCTATGGAGCAACGGTGAGGAATAGAAAAACTTTGTGATATCGAGGAATTCAGTATATTGACACAATGTGACTTCAAGTTACGCACGCTAACCGATACTTGTGCCCTCCAGAAGGTTTGCAACGCACGAGCCTGCGGGGCCCAGCTCCGCGCGAACCGTGTTGGAAAAAAGAAGGACGTGGAAGAAGAGGCAGAAGTGAATCCTCGAGACAACTAGGAGATTTTGTTCCAGCTGTGTTATTATTCTCGGGCACAAGTTCATTGAACCGTGCGTTACAAATCTGGTGGAGGTGCTGGGTACGATAACAAGCCCCTCTCGAGTGACGAAGCACAGTCCAGAACCACAGCAACTTGGACCCAACGAGCTGACGCCTGTTCATCAGTGCTGCAGTCGACGCCTACTTGGTGAGGGTCCTGAATTTTTATCTTTATCGACTTCCCTTAGAACCTCAACGGCTGTGAACGGGTACGCAACCGACATGACAGCTCAGGTCCCTCCAGCTAACATTGTAGTGAACCAGCCAATGCTACCAAAGCCTTTTCACGGCAAAAGCTACGAGGACGCAGAGGACTGGCTTGAACACTTTGAACGCGTCGCAAAGGCTAACGGATATGGGGAAGACCGCAAACTTGGAAGTGTTTACTTCGCGCTGCAAGATAGCGCACGAAGCTGGTATGAAAACCACGAAGCTACCTTCCAGTCGTGGGATGACTTTCGACGGGAGCTGCTCGCTGCTTTGCCGAACACAGACCACAAAGAGAGAGCTGAAGCTGCGCTCCAGACAAGAAATCAGCGAAATAACGAAAATATCGCCATGTGTGTGGAAGACATGTCTCTCCTATTCCGCCGAGCGGATTCAAATATGAGCGAAGACAGGAAGCTGCGTCATCTGATGCGAGGCGTGAAGCAAGAACTATTTGTTGGACTAATTCGAAGCCCGCCGCGCACCGTCGCCGAGTTTCGTTCCGATGCGACTACAGTGGAAAGGACGCTACAACAGTGAGCAAGGTTATACAACTGGGATGGGATTATCACTTCCTTGGACATGTTGCCAACAGTCTTCGGTAACGGCATGGAAGCACTATGCGAGCTGGTGCGGTCTGTTGTGCGAGAAGAGCTCCAGAAGCAGCGCCTTGACCAGAACGCTCCAATGCTTTCGTCTCTGGCCGATGATATGTGGGGTTTAATGTCCCGAAACCACCATATGATTATGAGAGACAGCGTATTGGAGGGCTCCGGAAATTTCGACCACCTGGGTTTCTTTAACGTGCACCCAAATCTGAGCACACGGGCCTACAACATTTCTGCCTTCATCGAAAATGCAGCCGCCGCAGCTGGCATTCGAACCCGCGACCTGCGGGTCCGTCTCTGGCTATTGGTAATCAGGTTAAAGAAATGCTCAAAGACGATGTAATCCAGCCTTCATCAAGTTCATGGGCGTCACCTGTCGTTCTTGTGGAGAAAAAAAACCAAACCTTACGTTTCTGCATTGATTACCAAAAGCTCAACGCCGTCACCAAACGGGATGTTTATGCTCTTCCAAGAATTGATGACACTCTGGATAGGCTGCGAAATGCCAGGTATTTTTCCTCATTGGATCTGAAAAGTGGATATTGGCAGATAAAAGTTGACGAAAGAGATCGCGAAAAGCCAGCGTTTATGACACCGGGCGGTTTATACGAGTTCAATGTACTCCCTTTTGGCCCTTGTTCAGCATCTGCCACATTCCAACAGATGATGGACACAGTGCTTTGTGGTCTGAAATGGCAGTCGTGCCTGCTTTATCTCGACGATGTTGTAGTCTTTTTTGCTACCGTCGAGCAACATTTGGAAGGGCTCCGGGCCGTGCTCACTGTGATCAAGTTAGCGGACTTGACGATAAAACCACAGAAATGTAATTTAGGCTTCCGTGAGCTCCTTTTTCTCGGCCATGTCGTCAGTCCAGAAGGCGTCCACCCAGACCCTGCAAAAACTGAGGCCGTAGCGGAATTTCCGAAGCCAACAGACAAAAAGGCTGTTAGGCGGTTTTTAGGTCTGCGCCTATTATCGACGGTTCGTTGAAAATTTTTTACGAATTGCTGAACCACTGACGCGACTGACAAAAGAGGAAATGCCTTTCGTATGGCTTGCCGAACAAGAGGATGCCTTCAATCAACTACGAAAGTGTCTGCAAAGCCATCCTGTTCTGGTGCAATTTTACGAGGAAGTGAAAACCGATATCCACACGGATGCAAGCAATTTAGGTCTTGGGGCCGTGCTCATCCAATGGCAAAACGGACAAGAACGAGTCATTGCGTATGCCAGTCGCACTCTTTCAAAAGCTGAGGTGAACTACTCAGCGACCGAGAAAGAATGCCTTGTCGTGGTATGGGCTATCAGCAAGTTTCGACCATATTTATATGGTAGGCCTTTTCGAGCTATAAGCGACCTTCATTTGCTATGCTGGCTGGCTAATCTCAACGACCCATGTGAACGGCTTGCACAATGGAGCCTGCGATTACAGGAGTATGATATCACGCTTGTGTACAAGTGAGGTCGCAAGCACAGTGATGCGGACTTCTTGTCACGAGCTCCGATTCAACCTGCTGATTCTCCTTCCACCGAGGACGGTCAATATTTTGTTTTCTTGGGAGCTGTGACACCGTCAGAGATGGCACATCATCAGCGATCCGACCCTGAGATACTCCTCTTGATCAAGTACCTACAAGGACAGTCTGTCAATGTTCCACGACCTTTTGTCCGCGGCTGGTCAGCGTTCGTCCTACGAAACAACATGATGTATAAAGGGAACTTTGACAACAATAGAGCAACATTCCTGCTTGTCGTCTTTTCACTTCTGTGACCAGATATTTTGGAGGCTTGCCACGACGATCCATCAGCTGGACATTTAGGAGTAAGTAGAACGTTAGCGCGCATCCACAACAAAAACTACTGGCCGAGTTGCTTAGCTCAGTACGACACTATGTCAGAACCTGCGGGGACTGCCAAAGACATGAAACCCCACCGCTAAAACCAGCAGGTCTCCTTCAACCGATAGGACCACCAGAGGCCCCATTGGACCACCAGGAAATGATAGGACCACCAGGAAATGGGCCCAGTAAGTCCATTCCCACTTGTGTAGTGGGAATGGACTTACTGGGCCCATTTCCTACGTCGTCATCGGGAAAACGGTGGATAATAGTTGCGACCTGCTATTTAACCCGATATGCCGAGACAGCAACTCTTGTTAAAGGATCAGCCGTTGAAGTAGCGGAATTCTTCGTCTCCAACATTGTACTGTGGCACAGAGCTCCAAGAGCGTTGATCACGGACCGAGGAACTGCATTTACAGCCGACCTGATGAAATGTATTATGCAATTGACGCACACCAGTCATAGGAAAACAACGACATATCATCCTCAAGCGAATGGTCTTACCGAACGATTGAACAGAATGCCGGCTGATATGTTGTCAATGTACGTTGATATAGAACGCCGTACTTGGGATAAAATATTACCCTATGCAACATTCGCCTATAACACTGCGATGCAAGAGACAACACGGATGAAGCCATTCCAACTTGTTTTTGGCCGGACGGTATTGACATCTTTAGATGCAATGTTACCTATTGACAAGACGCCCGAGAATGACTATGCTGTTCACGACTACATACAAAGAGCAGAAGAAGCCAGACAGCTGGCACGAATCGCATTCTCCAACAGCAGAAAACCGACACGCACCGATACAATATGCGAAGAAGGGACGTCCAGTACGCACTAGGAGACAGAGTATGGGTGTGGATTCCTGTACGAATACGTGGCCTGTCAGAAAAACTGCTTCGCCCCTATTTCGGTCTGTACAGAGAAATCCGCCGCGTCGGCTCGCTCAACTACGAAGTATGACAGAGGGACAGGATATTTCATCTCGACGGCGGCATCGCACGGAAGCTGTGCATGTCGTCAGGATGAAACTGTATCACGACAGGCAATAAAACCTCGAGGACACAACATTGTTTGACATTAACGACAACGACGACAAGGGTTTGTGAATGACCGCCATGCAACCAGTTCGACACAAGCATCGGGACGATGCACTCTGGAAAGGGGGGCAATGACACAATGTGACTTCAATTTGCGCGCGCTAGCCGATACTTGTGCCCTCCAGATGGTTTGCAACGCACGAGCCTGCGGGGCCCAGCTGCACGCGAACCGTGTTGGAAAAAAGAGGAGCGTGGAAGAAGAGGCAGAAGTGAATCCTCGAGACAACTAGGAGATTTCGTTCTAGCTGTGTTAGTATTCTCGGGCACAAGTTTGCCCTGCCTACGTTAGCTTATTAAAAGTGTTCATTGAATCGTGCGTCACCACAATATGGAGGTTCCTTATAAGTAAGCTTAACTGTATACCTTTCTTTTGAGGGTTAGTGGCAGATTAACATTCATGATTTTAGAATGCTTGCTGAATATGATCTACCCAACCCTTATTCTTTTACTTATTTCACTCTCACCATTCAGCTCCACAGTTACTATCTGTCCTAAGTAAACATACTCTATTACAACTTCAAGTGCACTGCTACCTATCTCGATGCGCTGTCTTCTTGCGTTGCTGTTGTACATTACTTTGGTTTTCTGCAGATTAAATTTAAGACCTACTTTTCTGCTTTCCTTGTCTAATTTAGCAACCCCCCCTCCTTTTGTCCCTTTTTTTCGCAATGGAATAAGGTTTATGGCCCAACATCTTAGCTCGCTTGCAAGGCCCGTTCGACCAGATAAAGTAACAACAGTGCACGCCTGTTGGCCCGGCAATGGCACCAAATATATAGCGCCGAGAGCACGCAACTTCAGGACAAAAAAATGTTTTATATTCCGTTGCTGTAGCAACCAACGCGGTCGCCGGCAGGACAGATTTTCGCAGCACGTCGAGTTTGTTCGCGTGCGGGAAATGCGACATGCACTTCCATCTTTAGCTGTTAACATGCTGTAGCCAGGTTTGCTGACAAGGAAGTTCATATTTCCTGCGAGGCGTTGGTGGCTACCTCAACACTTTCTTTCCTTCAAGTTGTGTCGTCCCGCCAACAGGTATCCAAAGCAAGGTCCGTGTACAGGGCGCGCGGCTTTGTAGCTTTATCTAGGTCAATTGTGCGTCGAGAGTGCCCTGACCTAATGAGAATATATCTTACCCCGTGGTTGACAATTAGGGTCTGCACGCTTGGATTAATTGATGACACAAACTGCACGCAGATAGCCAACGTGGCCATCATTTCTCACTGAAATTAGTGCCGACCTGATGAACTGAGAAAACTTTACAGCTAGTCGGGCATTTCGGTCCAGCGTGGCGCAACTGTTGCACCTCTGCCGAAGCCTGCACATAAATAATAAAAACTATGCAAATAACAAAATTTTGAGTGAGAAGTTAATTCGGATATTTTTCTAATACTTTGAAGTGAAGTAGCAGAAAAATGTTGGAGAGGATTTCTCAGCATATTCTTACGAAATAGCAACATTAAGGATTTTTTTTAGGCTAGGTTGATAAAGCACTGGCAGGATGGTGGTTTATAGTTGTCTTATGAAGAATGAAGCAATGCAGAGGCGAAATTATATTTATGTCCATGATTTGGTGTAACCAAAGTGCTGCCGACAGCACTTTACGCGTGAAAGGCAAAGAAGCTACAGTGCAGTCCACTTATAACGATACCACATATAACGATATATCGGTTATAACGATGGGTCGACTTAACAGTCTCATTTTATGCATTGGGGCTATGGGGAAAAAAACCATATATAACGATATGTTATCCACCGCATATCGGATACAACGATGAAAAGTTTGCCGTGGACGGCATGTTTGATTCAGAATAATCGTAACATTTAGATTGATAAAGTTCCTCGGAAACGAACTATGCCGAGACAAGACGAAAAGTTAGCGTAGGCGAGTACGTATCTGCCGCCACTACAGCACAGCGCCGGCAGCGCGTCCCGGCCGTTCAAAAAGCCAAGGAGAGCATCGCGAGTTGGCGCGACGCGCTACAGATGGCGCGAGCTGTGTCATGTTTTGCGCCTCACCGCGCGTCGACCGCGGAGAGGCTGAGAGAATTTTTTAAAAAAATGCGAAAAGCAAAGCGCCGCGGCGGCATCGGGGCGGGGCCTCGTTGGCATTCCGGCTGTGTACCTCTGGCTGTGCTTTCTTCCTCCCACTGCTCCCACCCCGCCGTCGGTCAGTCTCTCTTCCTCAGCGATCGCGCGAGCAACGTCTAGAGCGGAGCAGAGACAACCCTCTATGGCGCCGACGAAGCGAAAAGCCGTGTCGCTTGAGACAAAGTCAAATATTTTGCAGGATTCGCGACGCGGTTTTAAAGTGAGTGCCCTCGTAAAAAAATACGAGCTCGCCCAGTCGACGATCTCGACCATCCTCAAAGCCGGAAGCACTGCGCTTTTGAAGGCTGGAACCAGTGGCCATGCCGACGAGCGGAAGAGAGTTCGGGAGCCCTTGTATGCAGATGTCGAAGAGGCACTCTACCAGTGGTTCTTGTCGATCCGTGCCCAGAATGTGCCGATTAGTGGGCCAATACTTGCCACAAAGGTGAAAAACTTGGCCTTTCTGCTTGGTCGGTCGAATTTCAAACCTGGCGGCGGCTGGATACAAAGATTTAAAGAGCGGCACGGCATTGTGTACAAGAACGTGGTGGGAGAAGCGGCCTCTCTCGATTCAGAGGCGAAGCAGCAGTGGCTCCAGACCAACCTGCCCGTATTGATGGAGCGCTTCTCAGCCAGAGACATTTACAACTGTGATGAGACTGCCTTTTTCTTTCAAATGACACCATCGAAGACGCATGCTTTGAAGGGCGATCCGTGTCCCGGCGGTAAGCACTCCAAGGTTAGGGTAACCGTATTACTTTGCGTGAATATGGACGGGAGCCATCGGCTCAAGCCCTTCGTGATCAGGCGATCCAAGAAGCCTGTGTGCTTCAGGAATCAGCACATCCCGGTCCGCTATATGAGCAACAAGAAGGCCTGGATGACCCGTGTCTTGTTCGAGGAGTGGCTGCTCGAGATGGACAGTGTCATCGAAAGTCAGGGGCGGAAGGTGGTGTTGCTGCTTGATAACTGTAGCGCACACAACGTGAGCCCGAAGCTGACATCAATTGAATTGATGTTCCTGCCGCCGAATACGACGGCAGGCTTGCAACCGCTAGACGCCGGCGTGATTGCTAACTTTAAAGCGTTGTACCGGCGATGCATGCTCGAGTGGCTCGTGTTAACGATTGACGGCTCGGCTCCCGGTACGTCGGGCAATGCAGGCGGGCAATGCAGGCGCTGCGACGGCAGCGACAGTAGTGATGAGGAGGTTGACAGCGCCTCTACGACCCCGTCGATGACGACACAAGGTGCACTGATGTCTATCGACTCCCTGATTGACTTTATGCACATCAAAGGAATGCCGCCAGAGTTTTCGCAGCAGCTGGAAGCTATGCGCACCGCGGTTGTGAAGCTGAAGCTTCCGCGGAAGCAACTGCAGATTTCGGACTACTTCGGCGTGCCGAACCCGTGATGCGTTCTTCGGAGTAAGAAATAAAGTCTTGTTTTTGACATCCTACTATCTACAATATTTATTAATTGGTGAAAATAGCGAAATCAAGCCTGGAGCTACAAAAGATACGTCCGGCGACGATTTTTTGGCGGCAGTCCAGATATAACGATCACCGGTTATAACGATCATATTTTTAGGCTTTCTCGATATCGTTATAAGTGGACTGCACTGTATTTCCTCAGCTTCTTCTCTTTACACTTCTGTGGAAGCCCAACTGATGCGACCAACAAGGGTGTGTGTCGAGTCCGGAGTTCCAAATCCATCTCGTAGAGGTCAATACGTAGTACTGTATTTACTTGCATAATAGGCGCACCCCTAGTTTGGTCGCGGAAAATTTGATTTTTTTTAATTCCGCACATAATAGGCACACCCCGAACTTGGCCGTGATCAGAAATCATTCTACACCCCAGCAGTACAGTTGGATTGCGGTCCTCGTACCCTAAAGAAAAAAAGAAGGCAAATCGAAGAGCAAATAAAAAAAAATTTGAAGTGCAACGAGCGAAAAAAAAAAGGCTGTTCCATCAATTACTGATACCCCCACAATCGCCGCGCTCCTTGGAGGTCACGTGTACAGTTAAACCTCGTTATAACGAAATTGGAAGGCCGCCGCTATTTGCTCGTTATAACCAATATTTCGTTATAGCCGTAGCGGGCATTTACTGCAAATATTATGCACTGTACTTACCCCAAAAAAATAGCGGGCGAAATAGCATCCCGCCGCACGGTGGCATGCAACAAAATAACCGCATTCCCAAATAAAAAGGAAAAAGTCATGCACCTGTTTTAATGCACTTCAAAATACACAGCTTGCATTTCAGGCAGACTTAGCTGCAAAGAAGTCCGTAATTGGACGTTGATGCATCTTCCTGATGCGAAGGATGGCTCGCTCAGCTGCGGCCGCAATGTTCAAGCCATCTTCGCCGCCCTCGTGAGCGCTGAAGTAGCGGCGCAGTACGCCCACCGCGTCTAATGCCTTTGACGCCGTCGGCACGTTTGTCTCCTGTTCGTCGACAGAGTCATCGTCACTGGTTTCGTTACGATCACTGACAGCGCGCACAATATCGTCATCTAGGAGCTGCTCCGTTGCCACCACTTCCGAGTCCGCACTCACATAGTCACAAAACGACTCGCTGTCAGGTACGACACCGGCATCACGAAGTGCCGTCCATGATGCAGCGACTTCGTCTGATGTGGCAAAACCGTCCGGCACAGTGGGCTCGTCTGATGGCTCATCGCTGGCGTCTGGTGCGGCGGCAAATGAAGCGTGTCGAAAGCAGTTTGCGATCATGGTCGCCGTCACACTCATCCACGCCGCCTGAAGCATTTCGAGCGCAGCGTACAAGTCAACATCGGTGTCTCGCTTCATCTTCATGTTGAGCAGGAGCTTGTCTATCACACCCTTGCGGTAACCTGCCTTCAGCGACATAATCACGCCTTGGTCAAGCGGCTGTATTTTTGCTGTGCAGTTGGCAGGAAGGAACAGCAGCTCGATGTTTTGAAGCACGGCAGCGGTATGGTGGGCGGTGCAGTTATCTAAAACAAGGCACACCTTGCGGTTTCGCCTTTGCCAGCTTCTCGTCCCATTCGCAAAGCCATTTTGAAAAAATCTCCCTGGTCATCCAGGCTTCGCGATTGGCTACGTACTTGACTGGGAGCTGCCTCTTCCCCTTAAAGCAGCGAGGGGATGCACTTTTGCCAATTACGAAAATTGGCAGCTTCTCAGAGCCGGTCATGTTTGCACAAAGTAGCGCAGTGATCCGCAGCTTACTTTGTTTGCCCCCATGGCACGGCTCGCCTTTGAGGGCTAACGTCTTGTGCGGCAACATCTTGAAAAAGAGAGTGGTTTCGTCCGCAATGAAAATATCCTCCGCGCTGTATTTTTCTAGCAGCCGCACGACGTTTTCTTTCGCCCACTTGGTAGCCTCTGCTTCATCCGACAGATTGCGATTCACCGCAGACCGCTCTCCCGACAATGTCGTGGCGCTCCTTGAAGCGTTGGAGCCAACCCGAACTTGCTACGAAGTTGTCATAGCCCATGATGCAGGCAAAGTCTCTCGCTTTTCTTTGCAGCAAGGCGCCGCTCACCAGCAGATTCCCGGCCCAGCGTGTCCAAAAACCATTTAAAAACTCTCCCTTTCGACCACTTCAAAGGCAGGTGCCCTCATCCTCTTAGCGCTTCCTTTCACGCTACGTGCAACAGCGTCGATGATGGACTCCTGCTTGCTCAAGATGGTTGACAGTGTGCTCATCGATACGCCAAAGTCTCTTGCCACGTTGCCTTTCTTGGTCCCTGATTCGACAGCTCTTATCATAGCCGCCTTCTGATCTAGCGTTATGCGCTTTCGCTTCCCGCCTGGCGCATTCATGTTGCTGGAATCACGAGCGCAGCACGATAAAAGATAAGGCGGAAGCGATCAAAAAAGAGAAGAAACACGCACGCAAAAGCAACGCGGCTCACGTCAGCGGGCGAAAACACTTACAGAGAAAGTGACTGTGAAGAGGACGGGGCAGAAGGGGCGCTCTTTTGCGCTGCCCTCTAGGAACCGGTTACTCAAGGGGAAGGGGGTATGTAAGATTAAGAAGCGCACCTCAGCGCCATGAGAAAGGGGAAAGGGGAATATAAAGAAGACACAAAAGAAAAAAGGCGAGACGTTCGCGGAGCTGTGGAGCGCTCCGCTGTCGGTGGTAGCCAAGCGGCGCACGTGCAGCGACCTCTCCTCCGGAAACAGTGCGTGCCGTCTGCATTGCGCGCGTTGCTGGAGGGCGCGTGGCGGGAGTTTTGAACTGCTAAATACAGTTCTCGCGTTGCGCGCCGTCTCAGATTCGCGTTGTGCACTGTCGTAACATCGGCTCAAAATTTTACTTCCTAACAAAATTTGTTCGTTATATCCCATAACAGGCAAATTTTGCCTCGTTAAAACTAGGTTTTGAATACATTGGTATGTATAAGGACTTTCAAGGGCAATTAGGATTTGCTCATTATATCTCATCTCGTTATAACGAGGTTTAACTGTACAACGCCGGGGGCTCGATCACTATCACCACCATCAGAGAAAAAGAGAGAAACGCCCTTTTGCAAGCAGTATGCATATGTTGTGGTCGTGTATTCAACTTTGGTTCCACCATGGGGAAGTACGCAAGCAACACGGCTGGATTTAAACTGAAGGCAGTGCAGTACTACGCTGGAGCACGACAACCGGGCTGCAAGCAGGCATTTCGGTGTTAAAGAAACCAGTACTCGGTACTAGAGAGATCAAGAAGAAAAAAAAAGAATGTGACGAAGAAGACACGACGGGCTGTCCGTGGTGTCAAGACCAGCAGGCATCTAAACATCGAAGAACAACTGGTCCGGCATATACAGGGAGCTACGACAAGGTGACTGTGCTATGTCTTTGGATATAGTGCAGACTGAGGCGCGCAGAATAGCCCGAGCGCATCCCACCGAGGCAAAAAGTTTCAAAGCCAGCTCCAGATGGAAAACTCGTTTCATGCGCGCCATGGCCTCGCACTGTGAAGGCGGACCACCTTGTGCCAGCCCTTGCCTGCAGCATATGAGGACAAAGTGGTGGACTTCCACCGTTTTGTTATAAAGCTCTGACAGCAGAAAGACTTCATTTTGTCCCAGATCAGCAACGCTGATCAGACCCCCTTTGCTTTGACAGTGGAGAAGAAAGGTGCACGGAGCGTGAACGTCAGAACATCGGGCGCTGATAAACAATAATGCACCGTAATGCTGGCGGTGATAGCAGATGGGCGCAAGCTACCGCCTAACGTTATTTTAAAACGCAAGATGCTCTCAAAGGCAAATTCCCCTCAAGGCATCTACGTCAGAGTTTAAGGGGGGACGCGGCCCTTGAAAACCGAAAAATCGCGAAAAAGTCGGTTTTTGAAAAACCACATTTTTGAGTTGTATGTCTCATAAACTACCTATTCTGTAGTTATCAGCACCTAATTCAACCGCAAAGTGCAAAAAAAATACTATTTTCGAGGCCGCCGCGGCGTCCAAAACAGGCGCAAATCCCGAAATCAAACCAAACTTCGCGCGCGTGCCATTCCCGGACCATGCGGTCGTCCCGCGCCATCTTGGTGTTGTTTTGACCGTGAATTCTTTCTCTCTCGTTCGCCGCCTTGCAAAATGGCGTCGGTAGCACAGCTGAGACGCTATTGGCGTTTTCCCGCGATGCGACGCGGAGCACTGATTGGCTAGAGCAGCGCATTCATATCTCGCGGGAGAAAACGTGCCCGCCATTGGCTGCTGTGCAGCAGTGGGGGCGGTCGCTCCTCTCGATGGCGCGTCCAGCGCGCTCGCTTCGTTGTTGCTCTCTGCTCCGTCCGCCTCGACAGACATCTGCTTACGAGCCGCGGGCCATCTGGCCATTCAGCGAGCTCGTGAAAAAGACGCTTTACGCCTAAAAAAGAATTCTAAAAGACACCAAGAGAAGATGGAGGCCAGGCAAAAGAAGAAAAGAGTGTGCCAGGACACTTCTAGCTGCTGTGCTGGAGCTTTTTGAAGAAAACACGTGTTTTGAACTTTCTCGACCTGTTTTCTCAGAACGGATTTTTTTGCTAGTTGTTGTGCTGAGGAAAGCAAGAACTCGAAAACCGTTCATCAGATTTGTGTGCCGTTTTTTTTATTCTGTTCCTGAATGACCTTGCAAGGGCGTAACAAGCTCCTTTTTTTGAAAATTGGTGCTGTTAATTATAATAAACAATTAATTTTTCATGAATCTGGTCATTACTGGTTACATCAAATTCAAAGTTGCGTGAAAATTTTTGGGGGGGGGGAAATTAAAAAAAAACGGCTTTGTAGCGCCCTGGGATAGCTATCAAGGAATGACCACAATGAATTTCAGCTTTCTACTATGTCCTGGAATTTCTCACGACTCTTCCTCAGGCACCCATGTGAAGCACCCAGTTAAACCTCAATAACTCGGAACTAAGAAACACAGCTTCGTGAAACTTAGCAGTTGTGCTAGTTTTATTGTAGTGAACAACCCCTGAAAGTTTCATCCAGAGATCTTAAAAAATAAAAAAGTTCAGTCTCCAGGGTAGCCTCCCCCTTTAAGAAAAAGACTGGATGAGCGCGAAACTCATGGTGGATTGGGTGAAAACAGTCTGGGGTCAGGGGCCTGGTGGTCTGTTCTTCTCGTCCATGCTTGTCCTGATAGTTTTCGTGGGCACCTAGTAGTTTTCGTAGCTCATCTAGACCGTGTACAAGGTGAGCTAAAGGAGCTGCGCACAAATTTGGCAGTTATTTCGGGCAGCCTCACATTGATACTGCAGCCTTTGGACGTGTCCTTCAATAAGCCTTTCAAGGACAATGTTTGAAGGCTGAAAACCATCTGGATGGCTGGAGGACATCATCAGCTGACTCCAGAGGTGGTAAGATTAAGAGGCTGTCTGTGGAAATGCTGTGCGCTTAGATCGTGGAAGCGTGGCAAGCTATCTCGGACGAAGTCGTCAGGAAGACGGGTATCTCGAACGCACTGGATGCGTGTGAGGATGCTGTGTGGTGCAGATGATTTGGACACTGAAAACGAATCCCCGCTCAGCGACGATGAAAGTGTGCTCACCGACTTGGACTTCGAATTGGAAAAAGGAGGAACACCTACGACATTTGTGTAAATAAATTTTACCTGTGTGTGTGTGTGTGCAGTTGATGGCTCTCGCTTGTTCATTAAGAGATATGTAGGTATGTTTGTTTTATACTGAATTAATTGGTAAATGATAAAGTCACCTTTTACTTGACATGTGCAGATTCAAAACACGAGAACCGAGTCAAAAAAATTTCTTCACTAACTTCGAGCTGGATTTTCTGAAAAAAGTGCGCCTATTATGCGAGTAAATACTGCAAAAAGCAACATCTGTACATGCTAAAAATCTTTGGTGTCTGCATTTTCTGACCTAATGTCAGGTCTTAAGCAACATTATTTGAGCCCCCACCTCTCCCATCTCCATGTTGAAACCAGTGTTTTCTTCAGTCAATGCATTTGTGACCGCAGCAGGGCCTCCAAGGCAGCTTTGCGGCAATACAAGAGTGTGATGGAATAAAGCATATCAAAAATCTGAAGGGGCCACTGCCAACACGACATTGTCTGCATTCGTCTTCGGGAAGTTCAAACAATAAAGCTATAGTGTGAACCGAATCAAATAGCAAGCACTATTTGAAAAAAAAAAAAACATTCAAATTTTGAATATTCGTGCAACCCTGGAAATAATGTATTAAAAACTTCGGTGATACAATACAATTTTACACCCACCCTGCATTGTATAAGCACCGTTCAGTTGAGTTTACCAGTCTGATTGCAGCGCCAGAATACATAGCCTAGCGAATAAAAGAAGCAACCTTGAAACGGCGGCGGTGAAAACGAAACGCGACGCGCGCACCTCACACCATGCATCTGTCAGCAGATTGTGGCCAGGATACACGGGGGCACACGCGTCTATTTTCTGTGTGCCCCTAACGGCGTATGTCAAAGACTTTGAGACAGTGTAGAGTGAGCAACCCAGCTCCTTCTGGTCAGTTGGGGGTGCCTGATACCGTCAAAGAAAAAATAATCTTTCTTACTTGTTAACCACAAATTATTTGCAGGTGCAATATAAATGCGCCCTTAGGTTGACAATTAAAAAAAATTAAGTTATACTTGTACAGTATGCCTTCTCATAATGAAAAACTTTATTTGCCAGGAAGTTCATAGGCTTCTCTGATCCGGTTTTCCTGCCTTTAAGATCACTTCTCATTATGCATCGATTGCGTGCCTATGAGGGGCTATTACCTAAACAATCTCTACCCACACGGAATAGCTTCAGCTAGCCAGAAAGCTTGTCTTGGGTTTGCTCAGCTCGGTCACAGGCCTTGAAAACACAAAGATGATGCAATGCAACCATCTTTATCATGCAAAACAGCTCCCTCTTCATGTGAACATTCATCATAACGATGCACGTGACAAAGTGCACTTCACGAGAGAACAATCACGACACCCACGAAATCATTCAACGGAAGCTCGCAGCAAAATGCGCTTCATTGGCATTATTTGATGGCGATGACACTACATATTACATCACTCTGACAGGAGGCTCTTCTTCAGACTCCTTTACTTGGAAAGAGGATGTTTTCCATCTGCTGGTTGCATAGATTAACACATCAGGGCGACTGCTACCTAACTCCACTGACCGGGCCAATTCTGCTGAGTGGCTGCTGCTGATGTGCAGGAAGCGCCGCATGATTAGTGGCTGGAGTGAGGCCCATACGCTGCAGCCGCAGGGCTTCCTTGAACTCCCGGTAAGTCTGCTGGTGAAAGCGCCGAGCTGGAGCAGAAGCTTCCTTGCAAAACCTGCATACAACAGGAGTACACAATTACACTAGGCTACCAATACTTCAAACCTTAGCTCAATCCAAACCCATTTCAAGGTTTTGATAGGTTACTTCTGCTGAACATTCACACATTTATGACACCTGTCATGGTGCGGCCAGTGTAGAATTGCAGCGATTTTCGGAGCTGGGAAAAAGAGCTGACAGAACTGAAATGCCGCTTTCTTGACAATCAGCTGCTTGCACCAAGACATTGTACAATGTTTGTCTGCTGACAACAAAGCAAGAACTCTTGAGAACATGACATTGTGCTCGCTCCAAATAAAGTGACAGAATTGGGTGCAGCACAAACAAGCCCTCTATAGTGAGAGTCCGCTACCACAGAAGAAAAATGCATGCACCGTGCTCTCCAACAAAGCTCGCCTGTTCAAGGCCATTTGGCACCATTCGCGCTTTACGCCCAATGGTGTGCTTCTTGTGCATGCGCACCAGCTCTAAATTTTTCAATAAATTAACGGAGAAAATGTCAACGCGTACAGGAAAATTACCTGAGTAATGCCGTATTTACTCCTGTAATGAATGCACTCGCATAGTAAACGCATTCCCAACTTCAGTCGTCAAAATTTGAATTTTTCTTTTCCTCGTGTGATAAACATACCCCCTACATTTATTTGCTGCAGTCCCACTAACCGACACCTGGTGCCTCCTTGCCCGTTGGATCTCTTCGCATTTTTATTATTAGGCCGACCTCCTTCAACCACCCCGGCTCTCTCCCTAACCCCTTTCGCTCGCTGCCAGGCGCTGTATAGTTTTTCTTTCCATGCCCAGCACATATACAGTCTTTATCAAATATCTATGCACCACAGCAGGGTTCACGAACGATGCTAGTGTAAAGACGTCGCAGCTGACAAGCACACAGCGAGCGAAGGTCACGAAACTTCCCTCGCCAATCGACGGTCGCTTCCTACAAATGCAAAACTTTACGGCCCAACCACATGCACAAAATTTTCAAGCGATGACAACAGGGTTTGCTGTTGCGAAGAGCCATTACTCCCCATCGCGTTGCAGGTTTCTGGAAAACGAGAAAAAAAATCACTTGTCGCCCAGAAAAGATTGTGACTATTTGCACAACATGGTCCCCGATTCTCATTTCGATAGCAAGCAAGGCGGCCGCAGTATTTTGTCGTTAATCTTGTTAATGACGATTTGTTTGAATGCTTCGGCGGTACCTTGCTGCAATGTTGGCTGCATGCTACATTGTCAACAGCGTCGTCGCGGTCGTCATGTGAGGTTGCCATAAAGTTGGCTATGTGCGTCGCGGCGTCGTCACAAACGCTTCTGGGCGCCCCTCGAGATCACAGCAGATCCTAGTGTTGCGGTTAAATGATTGCGAGAAAAGCTAGCAGCAAAACGCTTTTATGGTGCGCGCGAGCAGCCCAGGCACAGATTGCAGAAGATAGCGCCATCAACCACTTGAAGTGCAACAAAGAAGCTGAGCGATCTAACTTTTTTTTTGCATTTCCACATTTTTTTGCTTCCTACCAAAAAATTTTTCATAAAATTTTCCCCGTATAATAAATACACCTCCAACATTTGTCCGATTTTTCTAGAAAAAAAAGTGCATTCTTTGCTCAAGTAAATAAGGTATATCCAGTATAACAATAAAGCTAGCTTTTTATAACTTAAACTCAATAGATTAGATGTAACATTTAAGGAGAAAACCTTAGATCATCAAATGCAAAAATTGACTGTTGGCGTCGACATCCCACTTCAGCTGAGTAATGCAAGAACCTATGACGCAGTGATGTCACGGATCACCCAAACTTGTGACTGCATCTTAACGTCATAAAATGACTTTCCTTAACATGACGTCATCACATGATGCCACTGCCTCAGACATCAGAAAGCCAATCACGAAGGCACTGCAAAACCAAGTGAGGTGCTTGCAACACCTCCGATCCTCGATGCAGTGCCAAGCCACGTTTCTCCAGAAAGCCTTTGCAACAGAGTGGCGCAGCAAGAGAAAGACCGAGACGCTAACCAAAAAAAAAAAAGGCCTGTAACTCATCTCGACCCAATGCATAAAAGACCCAGTCAGTTTCTTTTTTTTTTTTCAAGCACTCACATAATTAAGGCATCCCCCACATTTCAGATTAAAAAATTTGGATTTCTTTTTCTCCCACATAAAAAATGCACCTACATTCATGCACTGCAGTTCCACAAACCAACACTTAGCGGCTCCTTGCCAGTTGGATCTTTTCGGCTTTTTTAATTATTATTATGCCGAACCCCCCCCAGCTTGCTCCCTCTCGCCTGCTGCCACGCGCTGTTTTGTTTTCTTTCTGTTTGTGCGCAGCCCGTCCCATCTTCTTTTTAATTATCCATGCACCACCGCGGGGTTCACGAACGGTACAAGGGTAGAGACATCACAGCTTACAATCACACAGCAAGCGAAGGTTACGAGACTGCCCACGCTAACCAAGGTCTCTTCCTGACAACACAAAACTTTAGAGCCCAACCAGATAAACATGATTCTCAAGCGACGACAGTATTTGATGTTGCTATGGCTGTCGCAAAGGGCCATTTGTTACTATCGTGTCGCAGGTCTCTGGAAAGCCAGAAAAAATCACTTGTCGCCCAGAAAAGAGCGTGACGCTTTCCTCAACATGGTAGCACTCCTGATTCTCGCTTTGGTTGCAATTTGCTCTTCATGCTTGCTAGCCGTGCGTACTTCAAGTAACGCAAGATACAGTGTAGACAATTTATAACGTAACCGCTTATAGTGCAGAACCGGTTACGATGTCTTTTTGGACTCCAGTTTACCTTACAATTGGGTGCTCCACTCGGGAGCGAACGACGAGGTTAGCTCTGGAGTGGAGCACCCAGTGACGCACCTCGCAGAGGGGGAGAACAACGAGGTTCACTGCCTCCGCGCTTCATTCACTAAAAAGCGTGGAGGGAAGAAGATAAAGAAAGACTGCAGGACACTGCGCGGGTTCGCCCACTAAGGGAGGAAGGCAGCTGCTTCGGCGATGGATAAGTCTTTGCACCGATGCCAATGTGGCTACAGCATATCAGTGTCGCTAGCCTGGTTCCGGCTGCATGCGGCTCAGTATGGCATGTGCGATCCCGTCCTTATCAACAGCGCTTTAAGGGGAGATGCTCCTCGAAAAACTTTTTTATCAGATATTTGTGACAGCTCAATGAAACTTTCACTAGTTATAGAGTTGGAGCTCCTCTTTTCGAATCTGCTTTTATTTTTGTTATGGGTCATTTAGTTAATTTTTAGCAGACCATGCATTCGTAAAAACAATGCATTCTTGTGCAAGCTTAGGCAACAATAGTAAGCACAAGAAAGCTCTAAAAAATAGCCAATGTTGCTCCTAAGGAATTGCAGAATTCAATAAAGCAAAGAAACATTGTGTAACATTTGCGCGCTGGCCTAGAAAAAAATTCTAGGGCTGAGTTTGAGTTTTACCATACTCAAGGAAAAAGCTTCTGCAATTATCCAGCTGAATATGGTTTGGAGACCTCTGAAAGTTGTTTATTTGAATTCAGGACATGTGAAACTTTAGGTATGCCAAGTTTCATTGTAATACGACTACGTAAAGCGTACAAATTATAGTGCACAAGCTCTAAAAACGCCAAAAACTGAGGAACTGAGAAAATGTGGTATGAAAGTTCAAAAACATGTTTAATACTATACTCTTCAACCAATCTGAATGAAATTCACAGAGAATGTCAGCAAAGCTATCTTGAAAAAATTGACAGCTTCAGAATAATCCAGCACTATATATTGGACCCTTACAGTCTCTGCAAGCTGTCTCCTCCAAACGGGCATTTTTTTTTTTTCCGGTACTGCGGCGATGGACCGTTGCTCCCGGGCTCATTCGAGGTTTCGGCGGCGGTATGCAATTTTTGTTTTTTTTTGCGAATGGCAGTTTTTGTGAGGCACCAGTTTTTTAACACCAATGATTGCACAAAACTCGCACAAGCTGCTCGTACCCGACGCCGATCGCACGCGGTGCGACCACCGACTTCACGCTTACAGCGAAGCTGTCCCGTGCGCTGCCGCTGGCGGATGTCTCCTCGCTTCCACTGCATGACGGATACACGCGGCTTGACGCATACGTGGACGAAACAACAGTTGCAGCACATGCGTCATTTCGGCGCTAAAAAGTTCCGAAAGCAATGCCAGTCCTTATCGTCTACTTGCCATTACTCAAATAGACAGCTCGCACCGCCCGCAGTTGGAGCATACTACGCCACTGACGAGGTTCTGCATTGCATCGGTCTCACAAATAAATGTGGTTCCGCGTTCGTCCTGACACTTGCTTTAGTCGTCGAACATTTTTATCTTTCACTCTGAAGCGCTGACGAAGTCATTGACGGTAGGAATAAAGCTCGAACAATCCAAATCGAGTGCGTCGCTGCTGCCACGTCTAGGCCTAGCAGCAGACGGACCTCTCGCCGGCGCTCACTGCTTGCGTTTGGGGTGCCCTCCCTCGTACTGGTGCCGCGTAACCAACTTCCATGAACGAGAGTAGCGTTTCTCGCCGGCATCTATGGCGCGGAAATAATAACTCCGGCGGTCGTGTTCGTCAATGTCTTGGCGAAAGCAGGAGAACGAAGAAATCGCTCGCGTCCGACTGCGCGGCGGAATGCTCGCAACCAATGGCAGGGCTCCGATCATACCACGTGACTTTGAAGGCCCAGTCGCCATGCTAGAATGCTGTGGGAAAACGATTTTTTTCTTGTATTTTTAGCGTGAATGCCGCTTTGCCGAAGTGGGCTCTGGGAGAAAGAGGGTTAGGCCTACATGCCCGCGAAAGTTCAAGAGCCGGCGATGCCATAGAGCGAAGTGCCGCGTGCGTGAAAATCGGGTAACTTCGCACTTTCACGAGCCACCGCGAGTGCTTTATTTGTATTTTTCGATAACTTCTAGCCGATTCTCAGCTTTGATTTTTTAATATATTAAGGAGAAGGCTTGGAGGAATACAAAACGCAAGAAAACACAAAATC